TTCCTAAAATTGGAGCCAAACCATAGGATAGACTGGGAAGTCACTGAGGTTCTCCTCGGGATCTGTGGCCTCCCCTATTTTCTCTTCATTTGGATTCCTTAACAATGTTTCAGATTTGAGCTTTTCCCCCTTCACACATCTTTTTCCGATTTCGTTGTAAAGTCCTATCCTTTTGACCTCTTTGAAGATGATATTCCCTGATTTTTATCGAGAGTTTTCTTAGGTGATCTAGGTCATTTAAGATGTAATTAACTATAGGGGCTTGCCCTTATAGGAAGCTTTTCCGAACCCAGCTTAAAATAAACCCTATTTAATTATTTGTATTAAATAGAGGAACTTGTCGGCAAATAAAACGGTTTCGCAGACCCAAACGGATGTCATATGTTTTCCTAGTTTATTTGATTGAGCCTCATCCTCAAGTCTTGTGTTTACCCCTCGGGATAGATACAGGATTTGAGGTAGAGCGCTCTTTCATTTAAACTGTGAAAAATATGAGGTCAGTTTGAAATATATATATATACAAATTATACATATATATATGCAAATTAAACGTGCTTCCGAACCGGGAACGAGATGTCAATTCCGGCGACCGACAGCTTCTTATGGACGACCCCCCAAACAACCTCTCTTTCTTTTTTTTGTGCCGACAGGTACGTAGAAGAATAAATTTATATGGATCCTTATTTGGGATTTAGTAGCTCCTTTAGGATATGTGCAGATTGATAAAGCTTCTTTATGGTCTTAAACGTTCTCAAGAGTATGGCTTGACAAATTTATAAAAACCATGAATAGAATGATGTACAAATAAAGTCAACAAGATTATACCCTATTTATTAAACACTCTATTGATAGAAAAAATATAATTCTTATTCTTTTTGTTGATAATATAATTGTTATAGGAGTTGTTATTGAATGAAAGGAATTACTTCGGGGAAAACTTGTTAAAGAATTCAAAATCAAGGAATTGTGAAAACTTAAAGTTTTTTTAGATATATAAGTTACCTAATTAGAACAAGAATTTTTATCTCCTGTAAATTTTTTGGACCTATTAAGAGAAATAAAGTGATTTATTGTAAACCATTTGAAATTTCTGCCAAACTGGATTTAAACTAGACACAAATGAAGAAAGAATTGAATTGGACATTGGGTACTATCAAAGATTAATTAGGAAATTAATCTATCTATCACATATGCGATTTGAAATTGCTCTTACAGTAACTCTCATAAGTCAATTTATGCACCAACTCAAAGAATCTCCATTTAAACTACTTACAAAGTTCTTCAATAACTTAAATCTAGAATAGAGAATTCTCTGCAAAAAAAAAAAAGATAAGCTACAATTTGAAGACCATACTATGCTGATTATTTGAAAGCACCAATAGATAAGAGATCTTTAAGATATTGCACATTTCTTGGAGGAAATGTTATAACATGGAGAAGTAGAAAATAACCTTTATTTTAATATCCAATGTTGAATTTGAATTCAGAGCAATTGTTTGAGGGATCTATGAAATTTAATAGAATAAAATCGCTTTGGGACATATAAAAAATCAGTTAGAAAGAGTCCATGAAGATATACAATGATAATAATTTTGTTATCAGCATTGTTCACAATCTTGTACAACATGATCGATCCAAATATGTGAAAATGGATAGATATTTTATAAAAAAAATAAAAAGTGGATTGATTTTCACTCGTTTGTCCCATCAAAAAAAAAAAAAAAGGAAAGAGATTGTTGACATATTTACAAAATAACTTAATAATATCACATTCAAGAATATTAGAAGAAAACTTAACATGATAGGTCACTACCATCTTGTTTGAGGGCGAGCGTTGTAGGATTATCGGACCAAGAGAGTGCTAGATATGAAATATAAGATGCCACAGTTTTATTGCTTACACGGAAAGACCTCTCTCATTGATTGACAATCTTTTAATAGATTAAACAATGGGATAACTTATGGCGGTTTTCTGTGTTTGTTATTTTAATTAATTAATTATTTTTTCTTTCTATGTAATTTTTTTTTTGTATAACTTTTGAAAGAATGATCTATCCAAACTTCCCTAGCTACTTTTTTTTTCTATAGATAAAATAGTATTGAATCCCTGTTACTTGTTGCTAAGTTATCAGCGTGTTCAAATAGTTGTCTTTTTTTCTTCCATTATCATCTTTGACAAGTTATGGGTTCTAATATCTAGTTTTTCCAATATTTGTATCTCTTTCATAAAGGACTTATTTTTTTGTTTGAGCAGGGGGGATTGTTTGAAAATGTTTACTCTTTTGCTTAGTTTTAGTTTTAGCAGTAATTAAGGTGCTTATGTTATTCATTTTTACATATCCACCTAGAAGGATGTTAGATGTTATTCCTATTAATATTTTTTTTTATAATATGAAAGAATTTTCTCTATCTATGATTTTACTTTAGAGATGTCATTGGTGAACACTACACAAACATAATTAACTTTCTGTCTTTGGTTATTATCTTTATTTGTACTTACGATGTGCTCTTGATAGGAAGTGATTGCTGATCTCATCTTGTTTTCTTATGAGTCCCATTATGATGGTGTTTATGTTTCTTATGTTTCTTTTTTTTTTTTGGAAATCTTTTCATAGTGAAAATGAGAAACTCTTTTATTTCGTACTTTGCTTTAGGTTTTTGTAGGCTTTAGAATTATCATGCCATCTTCCGCCATAAAAATTATTTATTTTCTTTCTTTTCTAATACTTACTATTCGTGCTAGGCCAAATTACATGGTTTTCAAGGCACTCAGAAATTTATCCCACACAAGAGCTTCTGCAGAAGCTGGGGGGTTTATGTACAACTTGCATAGACTAAATTAACTATAATAATTAATAAAAATTTGAAAGCAAAAGTTAGCTGGCCTAGACGTGTGTGCACAATTCATCTGATTTCATCTTGTTAAAGATGTCAGTTTTTAGTTATGTCATGCAACGTCTTATCAATTGCTTGAGTTCTTCTGCTGTCTTTTTTTTATTAATATCTTGCTATTATCAGGACTTGAATTTTTTCCCCCTGCATTTCTCTTTTTACCGTTCTTGAGCTTATACTCTTGTTTGGTAAAGGGATGCAAGGAAATTCTTTTTTTTTACTTTAATTCCATTTTGTAGCTTTTTATTTGTTTCATACTATTGTTGATTAGAACTTGCAATGCTTTTGTTCTCTGAGTTGCAGAAGTCAGCATAAAAGGAATAGTATTTCTTTTATTTAATCAACATTGCAAAAGGTTTTTCTTCATTAGAGCTGTTTCCCTATTTATGTTTTTCTCTTCGATTGTCTCATTTGTCTCAGAATCTTCCGCATGATGCTTACAAGCTCCTTCCAGTGCCTTCTCCCATTGGCGGCGTGCTGGTGATTTGTGCTAATAGCATTCACTATCATAGTCAGGTGATTTAAATATTGATTAATGTTATCTGTTGGTTGCTTGGGTTTGTTTCGGTACCACATTTTGCCTGTTTTTATGTGGTATCCTTATGAATTTCTAATTTTATTGCAGTCAGTATCTCGTTCACTTGGTCTTAACAGTTTCTCTGCTCAGCCGGAAAGCAGGTTCTCTTATTTTGTCTCCTCAATGCATTGTATATCTAATTCTTTCTTAGGCATGATATGGACAAATGTATAGCACTAGGGTTTAGGGTGGTCGTCGAAGGCATAGCACGTGAACATTTCCTCTCAAATTTCTGTGTTCCTATTGGCATTGTATTGTATATGATATAATGCCTTAAAGAGATGGTGATAATTTATTGTCATAACTGGTTTGATTAGCAGTGTGGCAAGCAGTCCGGAAATTTATTCTGTGCTGTATATATTAATTAGCTGTAAATATTTTGGAAAATTCTGAAAAGCATCTAAGATAAAAAAGCAGCTAATGCAATTGCTCATTATGGGAATTGAAGTTATTGTATCAAACAAATGGCAATGCATTGTCTGTTGCATGTTTACATTAATTTTATTCATCATTTTCTTTGTTAAACTTTTCCAAACTATTTGCTGCATTCTGCTTGACTTGTTAAACCTATTCTTTGTAATTAATTTCAAACAAGCTTCTACCATGTTATATTAGGTTTACACCTCCTTCATTATAACCAGTGTATTTTATATTACTCATTATATTTGTTCAAATCACCTAATTGTTTTTTTAATTTCTTCGTTTTCAATAGATATCACTCTAATTATTCTTTTAATTTAACCATAAATTTCACAAACATTTTAAAATATTCTTTTTTTTTCTCTCATTCTTGGATATGAACAACCTTTTTAGTACTTAACACTCAAATTCATACAACATTAATGGTGTACATGTTGTGAGAATTGCAGCGGAATAAAACAGGAATCGACACAAATCCAGAAGAAGAACACAAAGATTTAACGAGGTTCGGCAAGGAATTGCCTATGTCCTCGGGAGCGAGCGGCGGTTTCACTATTTCAGAGAAGTTACAATACATCCCATAGGGTTACACATAT